GAACAGTATGTAATAATTTCATATTTAAAGTACTTTCAGAAGTTTATACTCAGAATATGAGCAGACTTTTCCTTTAAAATGTAGATCTTCGGTGTAATAACCTCCTGAACCAAAAGGGGGCAGCAGAGTGTAAGCCTAGTCTTTCCTTGCATGGTGATAATGTGGTTAGGAATGTTTTTCCTGTAAAACTAAAGTAATCAGAGGTTATATATGAAATGCTGCACAATGATAAAAATGTCTGTTTAAAAAAAAAAAAAAAAGACATCTTTGTATCTATGGTGATCTCCAGATCTTTATGTGAGGGTCTGTTTAGCTCAGTCCATCCCAAGGAGGTCAATTTTTTTTTAAGTTTTCTTTTTATTGCTCTCTTAACTAATCTTTTATGTTTAATTGAAAGCTTTAAATAAAGAAGTTGGAAACTCTAACCGGTATCCATCTATACACCTGTATCATCATTATAGTCAGGCCTGTTTCAGTGTTTAGTCCCATTTTTGTATAATGGGCTCAGCTTTGACTGTGCTTAGCTCCATGTGCTCTTTCATCCTTATTTCCTAGACAGATCCATCTATGGAGCTAGTTTACTGCTAACTTTAACATTGAAAGTATTTATAGATCAGTGCTTCCATGTTTCTTTTGTCTACTTCTGCCTCCTTTGAACCCCAGTCGTCCTCAGCAGATCCTCGGTGACGAGTCTGATTATGCTGCAGGTTTCTTCCTGTTAAAAGGGAGTTTTCCTCTCCACAGTCACTGCATGCATGTTCATTGTGAGGGATTGCTGAAGAGTCAACGACAGAATTTAAGAAAAAATCTACCATCTGCCAGAAAGAGGGAATCCTGCAAACTTGATGCTGGTTTTCCTTTTACCAAATCTGACTGAACACTGTGTAAAGTGCTTTGAGATGATGTGTTAAATAAAAGTGATTGCATTAAATTGTGTTGAAATAAACTTTTTCTAAGTCTCAAATTTTGATTAAATGTAAAAGGAAACAGAGTTAAGAGGCGGAAAAATAGTTTAAAATCATTGAGGGTCCCACCCAGAAAAGTTTGGAAACAGCTGGTCTGCAGTCATGGCCAAAAGTTTTGAGAATGATTCAAATGTTAATATTTACAAAGTCTACTGCTTCAGTTTTTATAACGGCAATTTGCATAAACTCCAGAATGTTATAAAGACTGATCAGCGTAACAGCAATTAATTGCAAAGTCAATATTTTCCTAGAAAATGAACTTTATCCCCAAAAAACACATTTCAACATCATTGCAGCCCTGCCTTAAAGGAGCAGCTAACATGGTTTCAGTGATTGCTCCATTAACACAGGTGTGGGTAGTAATGAGGACAGAGAGATCAATCTGTCAGGATTAAGTCAGAATGACACCACTGGACACTTTAAAAAGAGGCTGGTGCTTGGCATCATTGTTTCTCTTCTGTGAACCATGGTTATCTCTAAAACACATGCAGTCATCATTGCACTGCACAAAAATGGCCAAACAGGAAAGAGAATGGCAGCTAGAAAGATTGCACCTCAGTCAACAATCTATGGCATCAAGAACTTCAAGGAGAGACGTTCCATCGTTGCCAAAAAGGCTCCAGGGCTTTGGTATGGAGTGAACTTTGCCCCTCTTTTTCCACAAACAAAACAGATTTTGATTGGAATCAGGAAATGAAACTGAAAAACTTTGATTAAAAAGCCTTGAAGGTAACTTTGCCTTTTTATTTCTCCAAACAAATACTTATACTTTTTTTTTTTTTTTTACAGATTTTATACCTTTAAGTCGTTCATTTCTTTTTCAGATACGAGAGGAACAAATTGCATCCTTTTCAAATAGAATTTGACAGATTTTACATCCTTTCCAGTTCAAGCGAACATGCAAACTTTTGCTCTTCAAACTAAACTCAATCTAACTCCAGAAAAAAGAAAATATGGGAAACAGAATCTGAAAGAGAAATATGAAACGTGTGAATTTCTTATTTGAATAAAATAGGAAAAATATATCTAGTATAAAATGAAAAAAAAAAATCTTAGAAAACAGAACCTTTTTGATTAATTTTAATTTCCCTCCATACTCTGGTAGATTGTTATCAGAGAACCCATTTTCAGCCAAACACTAAAGAAAACAGTAACTGATTTTCTAAAGAAAAAAAAAGACAAGATGAATGTAGAGTCATTTTATTTAGTCAGGAGGAATCTCAAGAGATTATTTACAATATGCAGCTGGCAATGAGCACAAATCTGCCCTCGAGAGATGAAGGTAATGTTCATGAAGAAAGGACTGGATTTTGGAAGAAGTTTCAAATCATTAAAAAGAAATGATGGATTTGTTGAGAAAAAGTGCATCTTTACACTAAATCCTGCTTAACAGTGACAATCCCAGAGCTCCATCTGCTCTTCACTAAATATCTTATTGAACTGATCCCACAGAGAAAGATGGAGGCTGAATAAACTGTTAAATGTTAGCCAACAAGGTTTATCAGGTGATCCAAAGTGCACCAAGAACTCTGAATGACAGCAATCATGGAGCTGGCCCAAATCATCACCGGCAGGAAATCCGCTGAGAACACGGGGCGCAGAGGCAGGAAGTGATGTCATGAGATAATCAGGCTTTATTACTGGAGTCTCTGAAGGTTAAAATCATCCAAATGTCTGGTCTTTGATGTTTAGCTCCATGCATCCATCAGGCGTTCCCTTTAGTCGCCGCCTCAATCTCAGTCTTCCAGCCCCAACGTGTTCAGTTCTTCATCCAGCTCCTCCAGATCTTCTCCTGTAAATAGATTTTCATCAACTGGCACGTCTTCTTCCTCCCCTCCACCGTCTTCTGCTCCCGAAAGGCCGTTCGCCTCAGTGCCGCCGCACGCGCCGTTCAGGTGCTCCTCTGCAAAGGTATAAAAAGGAAAAAACTGAGTCAAACATCTAAACAGGAAATCAGAAGAAACCAAATCAGTTTAGGCACATTTCTCCAATATGAGATCAATAAAGTTAATTTAGATGCATTCAGTCATCCACCTTCACTCCTTAATTCTCTAAATGATTGATCAACACTGAAGCATCCAAACCATGAACATGTTTTATGCACCAGAGCAGAAGATCATGTTTTTCATGCATCTCAGCAGGAAGTTTTTTCTATCTTAAATGCAAAATGTATACATTTTTTTATTTTATTTTTTTACAATCTTGGTATAATTACTGCTCTATACTCCGGTTAACGATTCATTGATTACTCAATGAGTTAAAGATTATTTTACTAATTGATTAATCCGATATTTTCGGCCCTGGTCGTTTAAAAGGCAATATCTGGGTCTCCCTCCATTTACACAGTAAAGATCAGACATTGGTAACATATACTATGTTTCCTCAAACTTAACCTTTTAAAATAAATAAAAATAAAGTCAGAATTAGCGTCAGCTGATTTTCTTACCGTTGTCCAACTTTTCCGTCTCGGTTCTGGAGGTGAATCGGTCCGTAGATGCTACTGTAATACCTGAATGATCCACCTCTTGTGGAACAAAACGGGATAAGTCTATGTCCTGGACATCTGTGACGTCGGTCTGAAAGAAGAAATGTTCATTTTATTTCAAATATTCAATTCATTTTGATAATTATCTTTCAATAGACCAGTTAGCTGACTGAACATTGAGCTCAGTGTGAAGTCAGAAAATTATAAAAATAATGAAAAACCATTTGTTGACATATTCACCTCTCCCTCATACTCGTCCTTGGTCTCTTCGGCGTATTTAGTATCATCGGCCTCATCGTCGTCGTCGTCCACCAGCTCCGGCCTGAACTCAAACACCTCGCGGCCGCTCACCTGCACAGCAATCAGAGGGAAGCCGTGTGTTATCAGAGCAGAGGTGTGGAAGCGTCCGGCTGCAAACCGAGCGTTTACTTACAATCAGAGACTTTCCAGCCTTGAAGTCTGCCTTCTTTTTCTCCATCTCCTCTCTGGCTTTATCCACCTGTAACAGAACGGTTTACGAATCGCTCTTATTTCTGCAACAGATCCACATTCTGGTGCCGCTAAAACAACCCGAATCCTGATGGTTAGAGGAATGCCGACCTTCTCCTGCCTTTTCCTCTTCTTCCAAGCCAGGAAGGTCTCCAGGGTGATCCGAGTTACGTTTGGACCCAGAGCTGCTCGCTGCACACAGGGATGAGAGCAGGGGTACGGATTAAACCCACGGATGGAGGAGGCAGGCTCTGCTTTGCTCTCACTTCCTTTTTCTTTTTTTGCATTTGACAAACTTTATTGACAAACGTATAGATGGTCAAGTAAACGGGACTCATTTAAAATTTTTTCTAGTGTAACTTTGGTGCTTTCTCTGATTTTTCTTTTTTAATGTCTTTTTAATTACATTTTTTTTTTCTTTTTACAGATTTCATATATATTAGAAAGTTATTTAAACTCTTTAAGATATTTTATACTTTTTCCCCCAGATTGAGTTTAACAAATTGCTTTCTCTTTCTTTTTATTTCACAAATCAAATTCTCTTCATATGGAGCTCAATTCAAGCACAGACCAATAGAACATTATTTTCTCCCATCACTCCAGAGGAACGCCCGCTCTGAAGGGAATAGATTTTAAATATACATTTTTTTTCCTCACAAAATGAATTTTTTTAATTAAAAGTTTCATTTCTGGATTGCATTTCATAAAAAAAAACACACAAAAATTAACTTTCTTTGCTTGCATAAATAAAGGAACAAAACTGATGATGCTAATATCTGTTTACTTAGTTCAAACAGTCAAAGCTTTTAACGGATCAAACTTTCCAGGATTGCAGAACAAAGCAGACTAAACTCTGATGGTTGGATTTTTATTTTTCCGCCATCTTTAAAGACAAAGCAAACAACAACATCCCAAACAGGGATCCATCCCTCTCACCTCGCTCTCTATCAGCTCCTCCAATGAGATCTCCTCCTCTTTCTCTTCCTTCTTCTTGTCTTTCTTTAGTACAAAACCAGGTGGGAGGGCATGCCTGTACATGCAGTTGTCGCCCCCTCCTGGACACACCCAGAACCAGCCGTATTTATTATTCTCTATGGCGTCCAGGAAGTACTTACACACCTGCAAACAAACAGGACACAGAGCAAAGAGTTAACTATTAAACAGTAATTACCCTCTAATTAAACCTGGACCGTTTCATTTTAAATATATATTTTAAATAATATAAGTTCAGCAGATTTACACCAACGGCGATCCTTCATTGGTCACACTCACGATTTGTGTTTTGGCTTTCTTCTTCTCTGCCTCTCCGTGTTTTTTGTTGACCACCTCCTCCAGCTTCTTCTCGTCCCAATTCTCCATAGTGTCTGTCCAAAACAGAAACCATGTCATTAACAGAGTAGATCTAATGAATCAGATTCCTTTGTTGCGTCTTTGAGGCACGCCGAGCAATCTGCATAAAATGATCAAGGAGACGTTCTAATTCATTTCCAACAATGCGTTCAGCAGTCATGCCTTAAGATTACACGAAGCACATAAAACGGCTCTTCCTTCGTTTGCTATTGGTCGTTCATGTTCAGTTTGATTCATTTATTGAAGTAGTTTT